AATTTTTTTGTCATCTTGACCTTGAATAGACATTTGAATTTTTATGAATCAAGTCGTATACTTGAATGACACTCTTAAAACAATTTAGATTATTTGAACGAAATGTAGAGATGTTCGATGAAAATATTATCATTCATGAAAGCGTTGAAGTTGATTGATCGAAGTCAAAACATGACATTCAAATGCTATGATGCAATTTTCACAAGGCGTTTAGGATAGGCAAACAAAAAAATATTTAGATTGCGCAAAGTTTGTGTGAAAGCAGGTATTTGATGCTCTTGAAGGTAATTAGTCCATGATAAGCCCATTTTGGGTAGAAGAAAAAAAAAAGAAAAGAAGTTTGAGCGAGAAAGTATTTTGGTTTTGACGGATAATTTTGCCACGGAAAATTTTGATTCCGTTTAGTTTGCCCCTTAAATGATTTGATGAAGACTCATGATTCGATGTCATAAAAGATGACAAACGAGTACATCGATCGATCATATTTTCTTGTTTCTCCCAATCATTTTTTTCTCTTTTTTTTTTCGAGATTAGAATCCAACAACCTAAGCAAACTACCTTTGATCGAAAGAGCTTGTAGAAGTACGTAATGTAGGCTATGGCATTGGGCTTATGGAGAAAGGATATAGAGTCTCAAAAAGTGTTTTGGGGGTTTCATGACGTAGGATCACTTTGTCATCCATGAAAATCTCTTTAGGCAATGCCACTTGGACTTTATCAATTTAGGCTGTTAGGTAGGCTATTGTATCATCTTAATGTCCTTCTAGGGCTTACCCAAAGGACTTTGTCATTTTGATCTGTTGACTTTAATCCTAGCCTCAACTCTCTTTGTTTGTTTGTTCGAACTCGACTCCCATCTTGACTTAATTTTTGTCTTAAGGAAGTCTTCTTCTTTTTTTCTTTCATTTTTTTTATTCCCCTTCATTTTTTTTTCAAAATCATTGACAAGATTCTTTTGACAAACATTTTTCAAAGTTTAATTGATCGCTCATGGATCGTACATTCCGCCCCGAGTGTGAGGGGTGATCCTAGTCCGGGTTATCATGCAAGAAATCATTAGGCTCAAAGTGGGACGACAAAGGATAAAAATTATGTGAGATATATGAAAGATGGCCTTTCCTCATCTCGGAGACTGATTTGCCTATGCCATTAGACACTAATCTCTTTTGAATAACGATGATTAATTGAGAGAACCTTAGAAAAGAAGAGATGATGATGAATGACTTGAAGATATACTTGTTCATCATTATTTAAGACATCAATCATTGAGCCTTTCCTTCGGGCTTCAAGATGCTTTCTTCGACAACATTTATGCTTCATGGGTTTAGTTTGGGAAAGGATAAAGAATGAAAATTTTTTCGCTTTTAGGTTTTTGGTTTTTCTTTTTTTTGAAAATGGAGGATTGCCCCCATTACTTTCTCGCTCCGAAAGGTTATTAAGAGGGATGTATAATTGGCTTGAAGAATTATCTCTAGCATATATCTATCGTGCTTTGAATTTTGATCAATGTTTTACAAAAAAAAAAAATTTTTTGAATGAATTTGCCATTATACTTCCTTGATGAAGAAGGATGCAATGCCAAATATTACTTTCAAATGGACATCTCTTGATTTCGGATCGGGTAATATAAAATTGCAAAAGAAAGTAGAAACTTTCTTTCGATCATGGATACGACTCAATTCATACATAACCCAAAATATTCATGAAAATAGTAGTCAAAACCAAACTTGCAAATTGTGAACATGGATCGTCTCCATAGCTTTCGGACTCCTTCGGTCTCCTCATCCGTGTGGTTTGGAAGTGGGTTTGTGTTTTCATTAGGAGCATGCAAACCACTCGTCAAAGCTGATCCAACCTTACTTCATTAGGTCCAAAAGCCTCTTCTTAAAGGCAGTGACAATCATTGATGTTATGCCTCGCTGCACAAGAATGATATTCGCATCTCTCGTCTTGCTTGTACCATGGAGGATAAGGAGGGCGCATGGGGTTGGTAGGGATTGGAGTGATCCGTCCAATGCTTACTGTGTGTTCAAACATTCCACCCAATGAAAGAGGCAAAATTGGTAGTTGTTCAAGCTCTGTTTTGTGGTCTTGGTTGTTCCGGTGAAAATGGTTGTGTGGTGTTTGCGGGTTGTTAAAATTTGATGGATTTGGGAAATGCATATTAGCTTCGAGGGAATTGATTTGCTCGGTAGATTTGGTGGGACATATGGAAGGGATTCGTTTGACTTGGCGGGTATGTTTGGTTAATGGCGTTCATTGGACTTGGGTCGTCTTGGGTAAATGAAGGTCTTTGGGGGCTACCTGGAACCACCATGATTTTCATATTTTTCTCGATGACTCCTTCGATTCTTGGTTTGATAAGATCTAGTCTCAACTTGGTGTATTTCACTATCCGCCCCTTTGGTACCACCACTCCCTTTTGTTTCGAGCCATCGGAATTTTTCCGAGCTTTGATCGCTTGTTCTACCTTCTCGGCTATGATAACAATATCGGTAAAATTAGAGGAAGAGCTTCCAATCGGATACTCAAAATACGGTGTCCCGAAAGTGTTTGAGAAGGTAGCGATCAACTCCCGTTGCGGTAGTGACGGATAAATCCGTGCTCGCCACCTTACGCCATCTTTGAGCATACTCCTTAATGGTTTCTTTTGTGCCTTTCTCCATGTTTTGCGGATCGGATCCGTTTGAGGCTACCTCCGGGTTAAATTTGCACTCGCTTGATGAAGGCATCAACCAAATCCTTCCATTTCTTAATTTTAGCTCTTTCTAGCCTCATATACCAACTCAAAGCGAGATCCTCCTAGGCTCTCATGAAAGAAGTGTATCGGCGGCTTCTCGTCGTGTATAACCTCAACCATCTTACTACAATAGACCACGACATGGGTCGGGGGACACCGAACCCCGGTGTACTTGGTGAATTCCGGTATCTTAAACCTTTTTGGGATCACCACATCGAGTACTAGACACATCTCGACAACTCTTACGGGATCATAAACATCGGCTCCTATCAATAGCCTTTAGGCGTTCTTCAATAGCCATTAACTTGTCCGGACTTAGACCTTTAGCTATCTTGTAACCATAAGCCTCTTCTCCTACAAGATCCATCGGCTGGCATAGGTGGCATTTGTGGGACTCGTGGGTCTACCGGATATGCACCAATAGGATATGAAGTCTCTGCATGGAAAGTGACGGATGACCCGAGTCGATGGGGCAATGGAACAAGTATATGGCATCGCGGGTTGTGCATGACCTTGATTCGAGCTACTTCCCCAACTTAGTTGCACTCGCTCAAATAAGGCTTTTAATTGAGCCATGTCCTCTTTCAAAGAGTCAACATCTTGCTGATGAATTTGGTCTCGTCGTGCTCTCTCTTCGTTCTCCATCCGACGGTCACCGAATCCGATGTTGTGGATGTGCGAGGGGAATTGAGCTTTGGCGAAGTAGCCTATGTTTCAAAATCTCGAAAAACTCAAGAAACATATGTACAATGAATATAGAATATATGCATGCGTGCTTTGGATCGGGTTAGATACCTTTCTTTGTTCGACATCCTATAAGAGTCGAGAGTTAGAAAAAAATATCATTTGGAAATGATTCGTGTCTTAATCGAAGTCGACCCTAGTGGACGGGATCTAGCTTTTTTATGGTTTGGGAAAAGCTCATCTAATCCTAAAGTCTTTTCAAGTTTCGAATTGTTTATATTACCGAGTGGGGTAATCTAGCCTCGACCTTATGTGTTAGGAGGTAGGGGAAGGTTATTCCACCATTTCCTATGCATAGGGCGAGTTCCGGTCCAAACAAAAGTTCGAAAGAGCATCGGTAGACTTTCGTCCTACTTGCCTCCAAATCTCTCTATCTAATCATAACGGGGTTTAGCTCGGGTCCGGAGCTTTTGCAAGTTACTTCGTGGTGTGTGTGCAACAGCTTTAAAAAAAGAGCATATAACCCGAGTTCAAAATGCATTAAATATGTACAAAATTAAAAAGGAATGAATTGCAAAAATTAAAAGACTATAAAATAAAACAAGAAAATAAATGACTTGAAAAATAAAAGAGACATGAAAAAAAATGGCAAAAGTAAAAAAAGAAAAATAAATTTGTAAGGGCTAAACTTATGGCCCGACATATCTCCCCAGATGGAGTCGCCATTCCGTCGCTACCCGACGTCGGACGGGACTCCCAAAATAAAATGATATATAATACGGCTCTCAATGTATCGATTTTTATTTGCGGAACTATTTGTAGAGTTTGGAGTCGCCACCTAGTATTGAAGGAGCTAGGAACCTAAAATTGGCATCGGTTCGAAATTCTATGGTAAGGAGTCGGTTACGCTTATGGGAAGATAATTAATCACCCAAAAGTGCCCTTTCTTGAGAAAGGTACCACGTCTAGCTTAGTCCCAAATTATCTCCTAAAGTATTTTATTTTATTTTATTATTATTATTATTATTATTTTTGCCAAATTATTTTTTCTTTTTGAGACTCCAATTTTTCAAGTCAAATTAAGTTTTTTATTTTGGAGCGTGGCATCGTATTGAAACGATCGTCGGACCCCTTTCGTCGGGAGACACGTCGGTTCAAACATCGGATCCACTTTTAGTCTCGACACAACCGGTGTGTCGGAGAACACTTGTTTATTAGAAAAACGTTTTTGACTAACAACTCGTCCCTATCAGATAGGAGACTTTGTTAAAAAGTTTTATGATTTTTTTTTTTTTTGTGCGGTGGAGGCTAGCGGATGGGGGGTGCTACCATTGTTGACGGGAGTTTGTGGGATAAGGTGGTGCTTGCGAAATTGCGGTAGCGGGAGTGGTGCTTGCGAAATTACAATAGCCGGGGTGGCTATCTTGGATCCTGTTCTCTTCTAGGTTCCGGCCCTCCTCTTTTGCGAGAGGGTGAGGTTGAGGGCTTTAAAGGAGGTCGGAAGTTCGTTGCCGACTTGCGGCCTTGCGAGAATTGGGGGAAGTTGGGTGAGGTCTGCGGGAATTGGAGAAGTTGTCTAGAGGTGGGGGCGAGCTGCTATTGTTGACTTGGGAGGAGTGGGGCGACTGCAGCTGTAATTTGCAACATGGTAAGGTCTGCAGGAATTGTTGACTTGGAGGGGTTGTGCTTGCAAGCTACAATTTGCGGCATGGTGAGGCTGGAATTGTTGACTTGAAGGGGCATGTCTGCAAGCTGCAATTGCGGGGACGGAGGATTGCGGGGATGGGGGATTGTAGGAATTGGGGATTGCGGGAATTGGGGAATTGTCCAGTGTAGCTAGGAAATGTCGGAAAATTGTAAAGGGAATGGAGGGAAGCTGTCCCTGCATCTCTTCTTTTTTTTTTTTTGTATTTTTCCATTTTTTTTTGTAATTTTGTTCTGAATTCTAAATAACTAAAAGAAAATATATTTTTGATTTTTGTTTGTTTTGCTTTTACAAAAAACGAAAATGAATAATAAAGAAAACTAAAAAGAAAAATGAGTAAAATTTGGGGTATGACATAGGCTAAAAGATAATAATTTGATCTTCCATCCACCTAACTTTCAGCTAATTTCATCTCCAAAGGAAAGAAGTATAATTGGCATATTCGGCTCGTAAATAGGGGTACTCCCAAATATTGCATTGGTAACTAAAAATGTCCACATCCTATCCATTGCTTAATGGATGGTACTCATTGTCTTGTCATATGTTTAGGAGTGTAAAACACACTTTTAGCCACATTAAGGAGTTGTCTTGAATATTCTTTATAATAGGTGAGCAATCCTCTCAACTTCTTCAAGGAGCACTTGAATCCATTGATAAACAAGAGCATATCATCCGCATAAAGTAAGTGAGAAAAGACAAAGCACCGCTACCTAAACCATAAGGCTGAATGTGACACTCTAAAATTTTCCTCTTCAAGTTAATAAATAAACTTTACTATACTAAAATAAACGAGCAAAGGTAATAAAGGGTCACCTTGTCGCACTCCTCTACTTGATTTAAAAAACCCAAAATTCTAATCCTGTTTATGGATGGTATACTATATATTAATGATACATCGATGTATAATCCTATATATGGATGGTATACCATATATTATTGATACACCGATACACCAAATCACATTATGCATTATTAAACCCCATGTCGTGCATCATCATAAATAGGAAAGGCCATTCAACCCTATCATATGCCTTTGACATATCTAACTTGAAAATTAGGTTATCCATATGTACTTTTTGACTTAAACTTATAACCAATTCTAAAGCTGTATTTTTAGTCATATTGTGCTCTTTGACAAACCCAACTTGTTACTAATCAATCAAGCTTGGTAAAACTACACTCAATCTATTAGCTAATATTTTAGAAATTATTTTATAGTTTAGTTTGATAAAATGATGGATCTTAGATCACTAAGATAAATCAAATTATCCACTTTTAGAATCAGGACTAAAATAGTAGACGACATAACTCTTGGAAGTTATCCTCTTTTGAGGAAAGCATGGAATGTTGCAATAGCATAAAGTCAAATCACATCCCAATAGCCTTTATAAAAGTGACCTATGAATCCATCCCGACTGGAGCACTAGAGGAATTCAAACCCTCACTTGCACTCAAGATTTCGCATTTTATAGAGACTTTAGTCAATCGACCATTCATATCATTAGTGATGTACCTTTGAACCCCTATAAATAAGGAATCAAGGATTACTATGTGTTTAATCATGAACAAAGGCTAAAAATAACTAATAGCTTTAACATCTATTGCTACCACATCTTCTATAAAAGTACCATCTAGTTGTCAAATTCTTAAGGCTGAACTCATCACATTATCCTTAATGATGTCGTCTTATCCCCATCTACAATCAATTTGATTCGAGCACAGTGTCTAACCATATCTTCATCCTACCTAATTAGTTGAGCTAGCTCGGTTTTCTTTTCTTGAAGCGAGTAAGCTGAAAGATTATGCCAACCACGACCTAAATCGAATCTAATCGAAAGATGTTATCTTGTAAGACTTCGATCTTCTATCTAATATTTCTAAAAACCTCTCGGTTTCACACCCATAGCTTACTTCTAAGATGTTTTAATTTACGATATAAGACCTTCATAGGTGAACCCTCACCCTAATTACCCATGTGGTTCTCACAAAGTCGGTAAAGTCATGATGCTTCAACTGTATTTGTTGAAACTAAAACATCACATGGCCATTTCTCATTTGATTTGATCGAATTAACATTGGACAATGATTAGAAATCGTACGTGCCAAATGTTGGATAGTGAGATTAGCCTAGAGGCTAAATATGAATTGTTTGCCATCACTTTAGCTGATCTCTCCCAAACTCGAGCTAGACTTATTTGATTGTTACACCACATATACTTACTACTCGATAACCAAAATCAACCATACCAATTCTATTGCAACAACTATTAAATTTTACCATGCCTTGAATATCAAAACCATTACCCTTTATCTTCTCATCGATTGTTGTTCGTGACATTAAAATCACTATCCATAATCTATGGTTCCCGATTACCAATCGCTAACCTATCTAATTCAGCCCATGACTCATGATGCTCCCTCTTATTAAAACTACCATAAACTATAGAGACTCACATATTAGCAATCCGAGTATCCGAGATACTAACGATAACCACTTGTTCATGCACTCGCTTCACAAATCCCCGTAATATCCTCATCTTAAAAAAACAAATATGACTATTGATCGAATTAAGATGCATACAACATTTATACTTAATAGACTTAGTAATAATATCTATTCTCTCCCTAATTTAGGATCAATAATAGCTAAAAAATTCAACTTATACTATTTCTTCAATAACTTAACATAATTTATCGTATCGGTATCACCTATTCCCCTAACATTCCATATAATACTTGACATTATAAATTTGATGTATAGGATGATGTACACGGGGCTTTTAAAGCCGATCTTGTCTTCCTTCCACATTTACATAATTGAAGTTTTCGAGCTTTTAACTAGTTTTTGGTACTTTTTGAATGTCTTTTTCACTACTTTCGGATCACCAATTGGAACATCCAAACTTCCCAAAGATAAATGATGGGTATTCTTTATTTTTCTATCATTTTTGTCATTTGAAATCGATCCCTTCCACCTATCTAAGGAAAGCATTTCACAACCATCAATGGCATGATAAATGATCTTGCCATTGTTCTCCTCAATTTACGATAAAGAAGAATGTCGAAATTCACCATGAGTATTATCTAAAGAACTCGAGATTGTATCCGGACCAACAATGGTGTTTTCCTTATGAGAATCATACACCAAACGAATCATATCCTCTAAATCCTTTCCCATACCCGAGATAATTCTCTTTTTTTCCTTTGCTATATTCAATAAAGTAAAATGATTGTTATGCATAGGAATATCGGTAATCTCCAATGTTAGATCCCTTCCACTATCACATTCACATTGGCTTCCTTCCGTAGAGGATGTTCCTCTGTCTTTAGATATATGCTCGAACCTTTGAATGACTACTCGAAATATGTTGTACATCCTCGATCACCATGACATTTCTCTCGATAACCTTAACATTACGAGCTCATCCCTCTAGTGGGGATATAATCCGATCGCCTTTATTATTCCTTGTTTGTAACTATAATATGAGTTTTGGCCACATGTTGGACGTTAAAACAACTTCCTTTACTACGATGAACATTCCTAGCCCTCTCAACATTAGTGTGAATACCAAAAGTACTATAGTTTATCCCTTCATTATTGGTATAATCTACTAGTAAAGGTTTGCCCGTTATACTCAATTTTATGATTATTGCATTCTTCTTTTTTCATCCGACTGGCTAGTTTCTTTTTATGTGATATGTTCTCTTTACCTATGATCTTCATATTAAATACTAATTTTTCATTCACCCTAACCTATTGTTCCTATGCTTTCTAGAACGTATCAACTTGCCTTTCCATAATTGTCTTTGATACTAAATTCAACCTACCGGTGCCAATTTTATTTATTTTGATTTTCTTACAAAAAATATCCTTAGAGTGCCCAATCAAACCACAAGATGAGTAGCATAACAAGTTACACTCATAGTCAATCTTTTGACAAGATCATTAGTCCTTAAAATTGCCCATCCATATTCTACCTAGTAAAGGTCTCTAGATATCCACCTCTAAACATATTCTTGTAAACATAGGGTATGTGAAAGCTATTGTTCTCTTATCTACCCATAAGAAGCACCTAATCCCTTCTCCCATCTATTTCAAGTAAAAAGGATTAAAAACAATAAAGGTAGGTGATGTAACCTAACATATTGAGACACACGAGCTATCTTTATGAAATTAAAAATCTAGATTCCATTGAAATACATATGACATATAATTTTGTATCCGATGGTCTTTTCTTGAAAGAGCTTGAATCAAGTCACCTTCCGTCTTTAATCTCACCATAACATACCTAGGATCGAGTAGCCATATGATCGGTTCACTCGTTAAGTTCCACAACCACTAGGTATGAGCGTGGATAGCTTTGATAGGTAGACTCCCTCCTAAGAATTTTAGAATTAAAGTATTTTGGAATTGAGAAGTCGTCGTTTCCAGTTCAACTAAGGAGAAAAAAACAAACCGGCTCAAAATTGATAGTTGTATGTCTGTCTTGGTAAAAAGGGATTATTTTTAGGGGATATGTCTTTGATGTTTTAGGATTATTTCCTTGTGCATTCAGTTACAATAAGACCTTTACATTGGATAAAGTTGGTGGAGGTTATAGATGCATTAAGTCATGATTATGTAGTTGCTGATTTGAATCAAAAGCCATGATATTAACTCGATCGGGCTTGGTTGTCATAGTGTGATTTTTTTTATTCACATCCATATGCTTTTGATTTTCGAGTACCATAATAGGCATTATGGATGGAAGCTTCCATCGTGTAGCCTTGGGGGTTGCATCAATGATGGCTTAGCCACCATGGATGGAGGGACTTTTTCTTTTTTTCTTAGCCATGACTATTACGTGCTAAGGTTTAGCAAGTTTTTAAATCTATCTTCTTTTGATCTATGTTTAATTCAGTTCACCTAAACACTAAAACCACCCTTAAAACATTAAATTAAGCCCAAAATTTTAGTTGGAAGATCAATAATCTCAAGAATGAAAAAGTTGGTACCTAGTTGAATTTTTTGAGGAATTAAAAAGAAAAAGAAAACTCAACCTAAAAAGGACTAATTTGGAGTCGTTAAGGTAAGTTAATCTACCTACATTATAAGGATTTGCTATGGGTCTGTGAATTATTGGTTTTGCCTAATTAATTTGAGTTTCATTGAATTAATTCCATGAATTAGGGTTATGGTTCTTGATTAGGTTAAATTAAGGAAAATGGTTTAGGTATTCAAAATAATGAAATTGAAGTTAGAATATGTTAATTGAACATGAAAACAAATGATGAAATACAAAATTCCCTAGACTACTTCATGAAAAGCTTTTAGCCCAAATAGTAAAATTTAGGATTTTTAGTACTTTTATTTGATTAATGTTTAATATCTTGAAAAATTGTTATTGTAATGCAATTAGATGGTTTAGCATAAAAATTGACCTTAAAATTGAAAAATAAGCCTAGTATCACTTAGTCATATTCGACTCAAATAGTGAAATTTTAGGGTTTATAGTGTTTTGATTATTTGATGTTTGGTGTATTGATTATATATTATTAAAATGTGAATAGATGATTTAGCATGAGAATTATCATTAAAATAAAAAAATTCACTTAGTTTCATTAAGCACATATTCGATCAAAGTTGGATGAAATTAAGGTTTTTAATGCTTTGGTGTATGAATCTTTGATTAATAGAATTCATGCATTATTGGGTGTTTATGGCATGATTTGTTGTGGTTATGGATGACTAATGTACATGGATGCAGTATTTTATGATTGATTGAATTGCCAAATATGATGTGGTATGGAGCACCATGCTAAATGTTTCATTGTTTGGATTGTGATGAATTGGAAGGTAATAATGTTTATGTGCATTTTAATGTTATTGAAGTATGTAATTTTATTGCATAAATGCACATCTTTCATGGCATGCATTCTAAGGAATCATGAGGTTATACGTTTACATTAAAATGCATATACATGCCAAAATCATGAAAATGATTTTTCTTCATGATTTTTCAAAGACAAAGGAAAAACCTTTCATGGTCACATGGCTTTCATGGTTTCATGGGTTGGGCATGTGTCAATATGCACATTTAGATGCTTGGTAAAAGACCGAGCATGTATGTACGAGCTTACATAGTTAGATGTTCGACACGGGATATATGGAGACATATACATTTAGATGATCGGCAAGCATGCCCAAAGATAGAGAAGATTTTTTAGAAAGATCATGGAAAAGATTTCATGGCATGGACAAGGAATTTCAAGAAAGACATGAAAAGGATTTTCAAAGCACATTTACTAATAAAAGTGCATTTTGCTTGCATATACACATTGCATGCATGATTAACTTACTCAATAATAGCTCACCCAATTCTTGTGACATAGGGGTGAAGAAATTACAGTGATGACTATGTTTTCTTTGGAGCTTGTTACCGAGGGACTCCTCTATGTTTTCAACACATGTATCTTACCGATTGTTGCAAGCTGGACCTACTACATGTTATCATACTACTAGTTCTTGGTATTATAGTATATGTTTTAGGTATGGCCACATTGTTTTATATGATAGTAAAAGTAATGAATAGGTAAATGGTTACTCGAAGAAAATGAAAAAATAGACTTGTAAATAAATAAATCATTTTTATAGTAGGATGGTCATAGATTGATGGTCATGTAAAAAGGAAAATAGGTTGTACGAAAACTAATTTTGGACATGAAAATTATGTAATAGCATAGTAATGTGTAGTTATCATTTTATTTAGTTTATTCTTGCATACTATTGTTCTATAATGATGATACAAGTAATACAAATAATTAAATTATTAAAAGATGATAATTAATAAAGTAAAATGGTTATGTGATTGAATATAGGTATCGATTAAATGAATTTATTATGACTTATAGAAAGAGAATTTGACAAAATCGAGAGACATGGATCCAATTATTTCAATTCAAACTATTAAAACAAAGTGTTAAAATAGAAAAATTTAATAGTACATTTTGGGCTGAAATTTATAATGAAAGTTAGACTTATAGGTTATTCAATAGGATTTTATAGCATAAATCATACCTAATAACACCATAGGAAGGATATAGTGTTGTGTGTCTTACACTTATTGTGAAGCGCAATGGTAATATCTTCAACCTAATTAGGTCATAGATCAAGGGTGTTACGTGGTTTGCCTATAACATACCATCCTAAACCATATGCTCTATAATGGATTAAGAATGAGTAGGATTGCAAGGTAACAAAACTAGTAATGGTTTCATTTTTTATTGGTAAATCATATAAAGATAAAGTGCAATGTGATATAGTTCCTATGAGTGCTATAATCATTTATTGCTTAGGAGACCATGGCAATATGATCAAAGAGTTATCCATGTCAAATTTAAAAACATCTATTTTTTTATACTTAAGGGCAAGACTATTGTGTTGGCACCATTAACACCACATCAAATACGAGCAAGACTAACATTCACTGAATAAGCATAAGAAAAGCTTGTTTGCAACTAAAAGGAAAGTGGCATGTGCATTAAAAAATCAAGAAATTATTTGGCTCTTTATGAAAAAACAAGTCACTTAAGATGAGAACTCATCCATTGCCACTAACATTTAGTTAATTATTAATGAGTTTGCTGATTTATTTTTGAAAGAGCTATCGAAAGGCTTAACACCTATTAGGGGAATTGAGCATCAATTGATCTTATGTCGGGACTCGTATTACAAAACTAATTAGCATATCGATGTAATCCTAAAAAACTAAAGGATGTGCAAAGGCAAGTAAATAAGGTAATTGAGCAAGATTATATTTATACGTCTAAGCGTCTATGTTCGATATCGATGTTATTAGCGTTAAAAAAAAATCAAAGTTGGCACATGTGTGAAGAGAGCTAGGCTATTAAAAAAATTACCTTTAAGTATCGACATCCTATTCCACAACTGGATAACATATTTGATGAGTTGCATGGTACCATGATATTTTCTAAAGTTGATTTGAATAGTGGTTACCATGAAATTTGAATGAGACATAAAGATGAATGGTAGACAACATTTAAGACAAAACATGGCTTATATGCATGGCTAATTATGTCATTTGGCTTATAAGCCATGTACTATAACATGGCTTATAAATTTTATTGGTCAAATTTTTATTGTTTACTTCAATAATATTTTGATTTATAGTAAGAGCATGAAGGAATATCAAGAACATACAAGGAGA